AACTGCTGAATGAATGAAGCACCGTATTCAATGCTCTCCTTGGCTTAGAAGCGTCACTCCTCATATATCAAACCCTTCCCTGAGGAGACCAGCAGTCATTATAAAAAGCGATAGAAACTGGTTGAGTTTCAGAGATGAGGCAGAACACTACTGTCTACAGCGATAATAGCAGTCTTTAGGGAAGGGTAGATTTTATTTTATTTATTTTTTTTTTAATTTATTTATTTATTTATTTTTTTTTTTTATCACAACCATAGTGGGAAGGGTAGATTTTAAACTGTCTTCAGAAGGGAGAATTCACTTAGGCTGAAGGACACAAAGGGCTATTCAGATGTAAGATAAGCTAATCACCACCAGATACCTAATTCAATCAGAATACTTTTTCTCCAACTTACAGACTCATGATCTGAAAAAGAGGTAAGATATGCTAATTTATACAAGAAGGTTTTCATTTCCTGGAAGAAAAATCACAAAGTAAGATTCGGTCCCTGCCCCCCTACAGATTTTTGAGGTATAACTGACAAATAAATATTGTGTATACTTAAAGTGTAAGCTTCCCAGGTGGCCCAGTTTGAAAGTATCCACTTGCCAATGCAAGAAATACAAGAGTCGAGAGTTCAGTCTACAGGTTAGGAAGATCACCTGGAGAAGGAAATGGCAACCCACTTCAGTATTCTTACCTGAAGGATTCCATGGACAGAGGAGCCTGTTGGGCTATGGCCCATGGGATCTCAGAGAGTTGGACATGACTGGGCAATTGAATACACACACACACACACACACACACACACACACACACACATATTCTTAAAGTGTACAACTGATGATTTGATATATTGTGAGATGATTATCACAACAAGCTAACACATCACCACCTTATATGGTGACTATTTTTTAAAGCTTTCAGTTATAAATTCCTGGAATCTAATGTACAGCATATGAATCTAGTTCATAATACTATTTTGTATACTTGAATTTTGCTAAGAGATCATATCTCAGTGAAAGGAAATGTGTCCTCAAAGATATGATTTAGGGTGTTAGAAGAGTTAATATTTGACACAGGATTCTCACTTATCTTGAAAATAAAGTATTGCAGATAAGCCTCTGTTCTCCTTATATATGTTCTAGCAAAATTATTGCATAAGGTCTACTGGAGCCAATATTTTATTTTTTATTTTGTTTATTATTTAAAAAATTGGAGTTAGGTATTTTAAACACAAAACTTCAAGTATACCCAATACCTACACAAACCTTCTACCAGCCCATGAATCACACATATTGTGAACAATGTTTAGTTAAATAAATCTCAAGTCAGATTATTATGATTCTATGTGAGTGTGTATGTGTGTGTGTGTGTGTGACTGTCTCACCACACAAGTAGTTTTAGAACTAAAATGTATTTGCAATTTGCTACAAAATTGCAATTTTTGCTATAAAATTGCAAAAATCAATAAATGTAATTCAAAGGCAAGGGCAAATATTCAAACTATCTCATATGCTTTTTGTTGAGGATGAGTCAGTTAAATGAGCTAAAGCAACGTCTTCACAGTTATGTCAGGTATCCCTCCCAATGTGGAAAGAGATAATCAAGGTGACTTGCTCTCTGTGCTAACTTATGTCTGTTGAATTAAAGTGAGCTGAGCCCCTATACATAATTGTTAACATGTTTTCTGACTTAAAATGATTATTTCAAATGTATCAAATCATTCTCTGTGGTGCACAGCACATCATTGATCTTATTCTCATACTGATTACATAATTTATTTTCCACCACTGGCATGGTGTAGTCATCCCCCAAAATACTAAAGGGCACATGTACCTCTAGGAGATATTTTTCTTTAATCCTTAAACAAAAAATAATATAGGATTTGGATTATTAGGATAACATGTGAAATAACATGTGAAAATTAACTCGGCTGCTTTGGGGATATCAATATAGAAGATTTTATTGACTTATACCTGTCACTCTCCTTTGCTTCCTTGGGGAAAGCTTCTGGAATGGAATAAATCTTAGAGATCAAGAAGTTACACAGAGAGACAAGCATTAAGTGTAAACACAGAGAATGATTTGTCTGCCATTCTCTTCTTCCTCCTTTCCTTTATCCAAAAGCCATGATTTAGGTGCTGTCTCAAGGTAGAGGAAAGGAGAATGTTTAAAGTCATGTGAGCTACTGAAAAGCCTGGACACTAGAGTGGTAGCTTTGTCTTTTCATCTTGTTTTTTAATTTTTTAGCTCTTTTTAAGGTATGACTTTCTGAAGATTTCTGTTGGGGCATTCAGGTTTGGAAAGAACCGCTGCTCCCTCCAAACCCCGCTCTCACTGTCTAAGTACAAGCCACCGGGGAAAGTCCCCACTCCACCACCACGCACAGTGCCTGGCAGCCCCCGTGGGCACGCTGGGCTTGCTGCTGCTCCTCCAGACACGGCTGCTTTAGCCTGAAGGGAGCCCTGGTCGGTGGAGTGAAGGTGTGTTCTTACCCTTGGTCTGCATGACTGTTATGCTTTGCTGGTGTTTATCCAACAAATGGCAATGTGAAGCAACATCTTGTAGAGATTTCTACCAAAATCAAATGTGGGTTTTTAGATCCCTCAAATACTGTGAAAATGCAAAAGGAAATGGTTCAGAGTCCATTCTCAGTGAGAGCTTCACACTGTCCTCAGGTTTTATCTGTCAGAGGGGAGATAGAGCTAAAGTGGCTCCCTCTAACCCCAATTGTCTGATTATGCAAATCTGGGGTGGGAAAATGAAATTTTTTTATTTCAGTAGCATTCCAGAAAGGTACATAATCAAGAAATCCTGGACTAGAATGTAGTGAAATGCCACAGCCCAGTTCTGCACATGAGTCTGTCCTGAAGGTCAAAGTCCACACCTCAGAAAGACATCTGATGAAGAAGGGGATGGGGAAGCCAAGTGATGTGAAAAGTATCTGAGTGCAAGTACAGACATAGACCACAGAGATGCTGTATAGAGCCTCCTGACCCATAAACACTGTGGTCATCACCTCCGCTAACTTCCAACAGGCAGAAGGGAATCTTCTGCCCATGCATGTGAGCTCCAGGGTTCGGGTTGACCCTCCGTGACTTTCTCTTCAAGATGTCAGGAGGAGCTGTTTTAGCTCCTGGGGTCATGATAAAGTGTTGCCTAGAATACATATCCCACGGGCAGGAATCAGACCATCCAGGTCTCAGATAGTGAGGAGTATTAGCCTATGGTCTCTCACTCCCAAGCGGAAAGGTATTCCAAGTAGAGTAGAGGAAGGTAGCTATCATACTTTCATTTTGAAATAAAGGAAAACAAATATCCAGGAAAGAGACCCAGAAACAACACAGTCCCACACTTGTCCACGACACCCCAACCCAGGGGATGGAGTCTTAGGGGGTACTCTCGTCTTGAAACTGGATCACAGAAGCACCTAATCAAGCTCTTAAGTGACACAGACACTGCTTTAGATGAATAATTATTCCATTTTTCTTTTTTATCTCCAGAGTTCCTAGTGTTTAGTAAAAGATTCTGCTTTTTGAGGGAAGTGGGAGAGGAGCTGGGCTCCAGGGAGGTGGGGGTGAAGGAGGCAGAGAAGGGCAGAGAAGGGAGGCCCAGGTGGTCTGGGCACTGACCTTCCTGTCCCACTGAGAACCTGCATTCATTCCTGCCCTCAGGTGTGTGAGAGGAGCTGGTTCCTTTCTTTCTTTTCAACAATAATTCATTTATTTTATTTACGGCTGTTCTGGGTCTTTGTTGCTGCATGCGGGCTTCCTCTAGTTGTGGCGAGTGGGGGCTACTCTTCATTGCAGTGGACGAGCTTCTCATTGAAATGGCTTCTCTTGCTTCCCTGTCCGACTCTTTGCAACCCCATGAATCGCAGCACACCAGGCTTCCCTGTCCATCACCAGCTCCTGGAGTTTACTCAAACTCATGTCCATCGAGTCAGTGATGCCATCCAACCATCTCATCCTCTCTCGGCCCCTTCTTCTCCTGCTGCCAATCCCTTCCAGCATCAGGGTCTTTTCCAATGAGTCAACTATTCTCATGAAGTGGCCAAAGTATTGGAGTTTCAGCCTCAGCATCAGTCCTTCCAATGAACACCCAGGACTGATCTCCTTTAGGATGGACTGGTTGGATCTCCTTGCAGTCCAAGCGACTCTCAAGAGTCTCCTTGAACACCATAGTTCAAAAGCATCAATTTTTCGGCATTCAACTTTCTTCACAGTCCAACTCTCACATCCATACATGACCACTGGAAAAACCGTAGCCTTGACTAGATAGACTTTGTTAGCAAAGTAATGTCTTTGCTTTTGAATATGCTATCTAGGTTGGTCATAACTTTCCTTCCAAGGAGTGAGCATCTTTTAATTTTATGGCTGCAATCACCATGTATGGTGATTTATCTTGACTCCTGTTTTCCCTAACTACATATATCATTTCTTCACTGACCTGTGTCTCACTAATCCTTCACCTATCTTCAAAACACCCCAAATTATGAGTGGGCATTCTCTTTTGTGATGCTAGCTAGCTGACATCTCACATAGCGATCCAAATACCTTGTGCATTTCATTGATCCCCATCTAATGTTCATCAGTCCTGGAACATATAATCCTAATATCTTCTATCATAAATGTCTAACTTCTTTCAGATCCTCTAGTGGCTCCTATATCTGATAGTGTTCTCTGTGTGTGACATCATACCTCCTTCTGTATCTGGATCCTCTTTCAAGGCCTCTAGGCCCTAGGTGCTTCCACAGCAGTAGGTCTCAGGGTCAAGGGTCAGACCAAGATGATTCCATGGCAGTTGGCAGCCGTGACGACAGACCAGCCCAAGTGGAGGAGTGGGGAACAGTGGGATTTATCATCTCTGTTTCATAAGTTACTTCAGCTTCTGCCACTGCCAATGTGTCAGCAATCACTAAAAGTCAGATTTTTGCCCTCTTTCTTGTGACTAATCATATCTGAGAAGAAGCACGTGAGATATTGGTTATGGTCTCTGCTTAAAATCTCCAATCTCAATGGTGCACACACTTGTCAGAAAGGTCGAGGCCACCAACCTGTTCTTGTCCTCCTGGATCTTAGTCTTCTTGGCTGTAGGAATCACCATAGAGGAATGGATTGTACTGAAGTTGGGACCCCAAGGCCCTATAATAAGCCACAGTCCGTGGATATGTTGTACTTCCCTGTGGCCAGCAGGTCAGAGTTATATTATGGAAAGAGATGGGTAGAGCATGAGGGTTCAATCGCTTCTCGGCCTTTTGGCTAAGATCAAGTGGAGAATGAGGGTTCATCTTTCCTCGACTTCCATTCATCTCACAATTATCCTCTAGTGCAACCACCTGTGGTTGCAGTCTGCCCACTTCCATAATCAACACAGTCAAGGCCTGCCCCAAAAGCTCAGTATTAGCATGTTTTGGAGAAAGATTTAGAAGCTCACAGACTTAACTGATGGATCTCTGAGAAGCCCTGACAGTAGCAACAGGGTATCTAGCACATCTAGAATGTGAGGATATAAAAGAAAGGTGACTGGCAGCAAAGAAAACTTGTTACATTGCCCCTAGAGGAAGACAAAAGTGCTTAGCAAGAAATACATTTTGAAAAAATAGAAGAGAAAGAAGTTTACAGAGATACAAAGATAGAGAACAATTTCTTTTGGTTCCATCTCCCATTTAGCTTAAGACCCCTGCCTCTTTCTTGCCCTATCTCTGCTCTTTATTATTTAATCAAATGTTTCACCTCATTCATGTTTACCTAGAGATTTGTGTGCCCCAAGTAGAAATGAGCCAGAAGAAGTATCTGTCCTCCTCTCAATACAGCTTCTTCTTTTCAACAGAGGGCCTGGAAATGGTCAGGAATATTCTGATTGTGGTGGTCAGCCTTTCCTTCATGCATAACTTGCTTCTGGGTTTTGAATTCACCTATATGATTCCTCAAACCAAATATACTCTCATTATGACTGCCTGCCTCGCTTTCCTCACAGGTAACTTCCTTTCTTCAGTCACAGGTAACTTCCTGTCTTCCCTAACATAGGATTGGAGGCATACTTGGTTTGTAGGTCCAGGCTGTGGTCTCTGTCTAACTCAGCCTTCCCAGTTCTTTGGCTTAGATATGTAGCTGCCAAACTGGATCCACCATTCAAGTGGCATTGGCCTTTGGAGAAGGTTCACTTGTGCGTGCTAGGGGTTTGGAAGTCAAGCATATCTCAGGTTAAGACTTAAATACGAGAGCCAGGGTCTTTCAGAAGGAATTTTTCTTTCTCCTTTTGTCCGGACATCAGGCATCCTTCTGCTCAGTGCACTCCTCCTGTATCACCACGTGCTAAATCAAGGTAAATTCGTGTACTACTTGAGTTACAAGATCTGCTGGATCAGTTTCACTGCATACTTAAACGCTGTATTGTTATTTGCCTCTGGTAAGTGTCTTCAGGGCCTTTGATGGGAGCTAAGAATAAATCCATCTCTGATAGGCAGGAGAGGGAAAGGATGGGAAAGAAGATAGAGGGAAGGTTAACAACCTTTGCATTTTGAAGGGCCAGTGGGGGAGTTAGACTCACTCTGAGGATGGTTCCTGCAAGGATGTGGGCTGAGTGAGATGTTCAATATGCTTGCCTCCAAGGGAACCCTTCCTTTCCACCTTTTCTTTCATACCTGCCCCATTCAGAGTGGAGATAACTGCTAACTTCAAGACTAAAGAGAGTAACTGGTAGGGAATGTTCACTCATGTGGAGGCAGTGGCCCTGGGGGCATAGTGTCAGGCCAGGACAGCCTGAGGGCAGACAGAATCAGTGTCTGGTGCCCAGTGACCACCTACAAACACCAGGGACTCTTCTAAGAAGCCTTTAAAATTTCCCTTGGAATTAAACTTCCTAACTCAGAAGCATGGCCTCTGTCAGAAAGAATTCTCAACTGTGTTGAGTTGAGCACTGCCTGTGTGTGCTCAGGCACTCAGTCATGTCCAGCTCTTCCAAGACCCCATGGACTGCCAGGTTCCTCTGGCCATGAGATTTTCAGGCAAGAGTACTGGAGAGGGTTGCTATTTCCTCCTCCAGGGGATCTTCCCAACCTAGGGATTGAACTCAAGTATCATGCATCTCCTGCATTGCAGGTAGATTCTTTACCTGTGAGCCATCAGGGAAGCCCCAAATCTTGTGCATGTGTGCTCAGTCGAGTCTGACTCTTTGTGACCCCGGGGACTGTAGTTGTGCTGTATTTAAGCTATTCTGCACACACTTTTAAACTCTCCTGCTAAAGCATCCCCCTCCTGAATGGCTTGGGCCAGTTCAAAGGGAACCATTAGGCTTTAGATCTGGGCCTCATGGATCACAGGGAGGGAAGTGTTTCTGTGACTTTTCTATTGTTCCTTCATCACCCTCCCCTGGCTTCTCTTTTTCCCAGGATTCCTCTCTCTCTTACAGTACAAGCAGTCCATCAATGGTTCTGGCAGCCTGATCACCACCTGCAAATCTGCCAGAGAAAGTCAGGTTATGGAGAAACATGGGGTTTCTATCAAAGTCGTCTCGTTACCAGCAGGTACTGCAATGCCTCGTAGTATTGTCCGTGTACACTCTGCCCACATGAAAGAAGATTCTTCAGAAAGACTGAATGTCCAAGCGCGTCGTGTAACCTGGGCTCTATGATTTGACAATTTATTTTTCAGTATATGTTCATCTTAATGGCAACAGCTTGTGCATATGTGGTGTGTGAAGGTCCAGCTGTATGGTCTGATTTGGCATTATATAAATGACTAAAACTGGGTTGGGGTCTATAAGAAGATCCAGAAGCCTTAAAAAAATTTTTTTTTTACCCTGACCAGCTTTTATTTGTTCTCACCATTTAATAACATGCTATTAGTATAATAAATATCATCATATAATGATACTTGCTGTATTATTAACTCTATCACAATGTTTTAGAATAATGTGTACTACCTTTAGTCTCATTGAGTTTATTGTAAAATATTTCAACCCTTCAGAAAAAATACAAAGAACATAATAAACACCTGTATATACATCACCCAACTTTCACATCATAGGCATAACTCATATTCCCCTAATTCTTTTTCTAATCTCAATTCCCTCATTTGTTTCACTGCAAAACACCTTTAAAAATGCATTGTTGATACTTTTACATTCATGTCATTTTTCTTGCAACTTTATGCATCTGTAAATTTGTAGAGAGTAGCTATCCAAGTGTCCAAAGATCATTAAATGTCATACTGTACAGATTATTTTTAGCAATTCACTTTTTTAACTTAACTCTATGCTTTTGTGATTTATTGATAAATTTTGTTTTACTTCATTCATTCACACTACTGTTAAGTTTTCCCCTTTAGGGATATAATGTGAAATACTCATTTTCCAGCTGATGAAAAGCTAGCTGTTGTCACTAAGTTGTATGCGACTCTTTTGTGACCCCAGGGACTGTAGCCCACCAGTCTCCTCTGGCCATGGGATTTCCCAGGTTGCATTCCCTTTTCTATGGGATCTGCCTGACCCAGGGATTGAACCCATGTCTCCTGCATCGGCAGGCAGATTCTTCACCACTGAGCCACTGGGGCAACCCTGTTTCTTTATTCTGTTACAAATGGTGCTGCTATGAATATTCTTATACACAGTTCCCTCTCCCCTGAGCTAGAGTTTCTCTTGGGTGTTTAGGACTAGACCAGCTATATCAGAGAGTGTTTTCAATATGATAACTACCCGTGTTACTGTTTGTTCAGTTACTAAGTTGTGCCCGACTCTTTGTGACCCCATAGACTGCAGCACACCAATATCCCTGTATTTCACTATCTCCCAGAGTTTGCTTGAACTCGTGTCCACTGAGTCAGTGATGCTATCTAACTATCTCATCCTCTGCCACCCTCTTATGCTTTTGCCTTCAATCTTTCCCAGCATCATGGTGTTTTCCAATGAGTTGGTTCTTCACATCAGGTGGCCAAAGTATTGAGCTTCAGCTTCAGCATCTGTTCTTCCAATGAATTGTCAGGGCTGATTTCCTTTAGAATTGACTGGTTTGATCTCCTTGCAGTCCAAGGGATTCTCAAGAGTCCTCTCCAACACCACCACTGGAAAGCATCATTTCTTCTCTGTTGAGTCTTATTTGTAACAAATGCTAAAATGTTTCTTTTTATGTGTGTACTTCTCTTAAACCATAAGTTCCTAGAAGGCATAGGATTGTCTCCTAATAATTCCTCAGTATCTGAAATAGTACCTATCAGAAACCCACAAAAGGGTTGGGCCAGTCTACTGAAACATCCAGGCATACCTTAATGATGTTTTTCCTGCACTACACTCAGGTCTACAAAGAAAAACATTGACTTAAACTATATAAGCTTTTGCCAGAGGGGTAACAATTCTATTGTAATATCTACAATTGGTCCCAAGAAACATGGGGGAAAGGGATTATCATTTCTTCAGTGTTTATTAAGCAAATATTTATTCAATACCTACTGCATATGTCAGGTGTTACTCTAAGTTGCTACAAAAATAACACTGAACAAAATAGACAAAATCTCTGCCCTTATGGAACTTAGATTCAAATGCAAGTGAGCATATGAATGCATGTGTTGTGGTAAAACAAACTAAATAAACAAACAAGTGGTTAGTATTTCATAGAGGGGTAGGTACTGTGTATTCAGGAAAGGTCACCTGCTTTTCTATTTGAGGATGTGTCCCATTTGGCAACAAACCAAAATGTACGGAAAATGGGTTACTTCCAAAATATCATTGTTATAGTGACCTCAGCTTAAATGCATGGTAGATAATTTCTCTTTGCTACAAATCATGATCTCTGGGGAAAACACAATGAAAACCTAAGACTTCTAAGTTTTAATCAGGTCTCTAGGATTTCTCAATTCAATAACCTCTAGGTCATATTAGCAGGTGCTCCCTGGGCACCAGCAGATGTTATATCCACCCCCTAGGCTGGAGAGAACACTCTGGCAGAGCTACCATCAGAAATCAAGACTCATGGCACCTCAGAGCCTCGTGTACCGAGGTCTGTGCTCTGACTCTCTCAGTCCAAAATGCACTCACAACAAAAACAATAGCAAAGAAGAAGAAGAAGAATCTCTGTTCTGGGTTGTTTGTTTCTAAAATTCATCATAACCACTTGGTTTTCCTTGAGAATAACGAAGCAGAGGTAGCAAGTCCCAACATTGAAGCCTCCATACGGAAGGGCGAGTGTTGAATTTTATCTGTCCTGCTACTCGTCTTCCAAACCTCATCTATAGAAGCAAAGGATTCTCTGAAATGACATGCCTTCTCTCTGCTGAGATGATCACTATTTATTGGGTGGGCCTGGTAAACTGTCAGAGCAAAAGTGGAGCAGAGAGGCTGCTGTCAAGAGGTCCCAGTGTTACTGAATTTTATCCCTGCAGAACTTGCCTGTTACTGTTTTTGATACACATCTTTAAAAATTTCCTCAGCCTTTTCACAGAGGAGAAAACAAAGGCACACAGAAGGGTGGGCTGGGGTTCCTCCTTACGTTCTGGGTCTCTCTCATTAGAGTGAGGCTGGGTGGAGAGAGCGGGGCACTCATTTTAATGTCACCCTCTGTCCTGCTCTCCAGGTATGTCCTAGGGAAGAATGGCCCCAGAGAATGACTCTTCAGTGACCGAGTTTATCCTGCTGGGTTTAACACAGCAGCCTGAACTTCAGCTGCCTCTCTTTTTCATTTTCTTAGCAATTTATGTGGTCACTGTGGTGGGGGACATTGGTTTGATTATTCTTATTGGTCTGAACCCTCACCTGCACACTCCCACATACTATTTTCTCTCAACCTTTCCTTCATTGATCTCTGCCACTCCTCTGTCATTACCCCTAAAATGCTGATGAGTTTTGTGAGCCAGAACATCATCTCTTATGCAGAGTGCACGACTCAGCTCTGCTTCTTCTCCTTCTTTGTTATTGATGAGTGCTGTATTTTGACGTCAATGGCCTATGACCGATACATGGCCATCTGTAAGCCCCTGCTTTACAAGGTCTCCATGTCCCATCAGGTCTGCCTCATGCTGACGGTGGGTGTATACGCCATGGGGCTTGTGGGTGCCATGGCCCAGACTGGGTGCTTGCTGCGACTCTCCTTCTGTGATGGAAACATCATCAATCACTACATGTGTGACATTCCTCCTCTCCTCCAGCTCTCCTGCACAAGCACCTCCATCAATGAGCTGGTGGTTTTCACTGTGGTGGGTGTCAATGTCATAGTGCCCAGTGTCACCATCTCCGTTTCTTACACCTTGATCCTCTCCAACATCCTCCACATCCGTTCTGCAGAGGGCAGGTCCAAAGCCTTCAGTACCTGCAGCTCCCACATAATCGTGGTTTCTCTTTTCTTTGGATCAGCAGCATTTATGTATCTCAAGCCTTTTCCTGCTGGGTCTCTGGATGAAGATAAAGTGTCCACAGTTTTTTTACACCCTTATGGGGCCAATGGTGAATCCTTTCATCTACAGTTTGAGGAACAAAGATATCCAAGTTGCAGTGATTGAATGAATGAAAATAAATTTAGCTAATAGAAATTTTGTTATAACCAAATGCCTTTTCCTGACTAAGATGCTTATGACTGGTAATGATGCTGTATACTCTCACAAAGTGTAGTGGTAGGGCATTCCTTGCCTTCCCTTTGTCTTTGACTGATTATTAAAAAATCTGCTAAAAATCTGGATGTCTCAGTCTTTATTCTTAGAGAAGGAAGAATGAGAGCCTTGACTTAAGTTGGTTTAAAAAGGATGCAAAGAAGAATCAGCTTCAACTGTGATTTCTACCCACTGCCCCTGAAATATTTTTCATAAATAAAACAGATTTACTTTTGTATAAATACAAGAATATAGTAATATTTAAATTACTACTGAAGATGGAATAAACTTAAATTTTAAAAACTGGAATGCTACTCAACAGTAAAGGGAATGGCTATTGATACATGTAACAAATGGGATGAACACTAAAGGTATCATGACTAGTGAAAAAAGCCAGCCTCAGAGATTGCATATTGTTTGATTTCATTTATTATCCTCCAAATGACTTGACTATGGAGGTGGAGATGAAAGAGTTGGAGATGGAGAAAACGGAGATGAATGGGAAAGGGGATGGGTGTGAATATAAAAGAATAGTGTAAGAGAATTTCTAAATGTTTTGAAACAGTTCTGTATCCAGTCATGGTGTTGCTACATGAATATATACAAAGGATCAAATTGCATAGATCTACACACATGTACACACACACTATGGAAACACTCAGTGCCTATAAGGCTGCTAAAATCTCACTGTCTGCAGTCCTGAAGTCTTGTTACCATTACTAAACCAGTATCAATTTCCTGGCTTCACTGTTACACAGCAATTGTGAAAGATGTCATCATGATAGGAAGCTAGATGGAGTTCAAGGGACTCTATGCATTATTTTAGCAACTCCATGTGAATCTATACTTATTTCAAAATAAATGTTAGCTTCAACCTCGTAAGCACAAGTACTAGTTAATACATATCTAGGAATTATAGTCAGATACAACTGAGTGACTTAACTGAACTGAACTGAACTGAGGAATTCTAAAGTCGTATTTTCTTGAAATAGAAGTCTAAGACTAGTGATTTTCTTATGTGCTCTATGCTTAGTCACCCAGACATGTCCAACTCTTTGCGACTCCATGGACTGTAGCCCTCCAGGCTTCTTTGTCCATGGGGATTCTCCAAGCAAGAATACTGGAGTGGGGGGGGGGGGGGGGGAGGAACTAAGATGGCAGAGGAATAGGACGGGGAGACCACTTTCTCCCCTACAAATTCATCGAAAGAACATTTGAACGCTGAGCAAACTTCACAAAACAACTTCTGACTGCTAGCAGAAGACATCAGGCACCCAGAAAAGCAGCCGATCATCTTCGAAAGGAGGTAGGACAAAATATAAAAGATAAAAAGAGAGACAAAAGAGCTAGGGACGGAGATCCGTCCCGGGAAGGGAGTCATAATAGAGGAAGTTTCCAAACACCAGGAAACCCTCTCACTGGCGGGTCTGGGGGAAGTTTTCAAATCTCAGAGGTCAACCTAACTGGGAGGAAACAGAAATAAAACCCACAGATTACATGCCTAAAAGCAGCTCCCAGCAAAAAAGTACCCCAGACGCCCACATCCGCCACCAGCAAGTGGGGGCGGGACGGAGAGGAGCGGGCGGCATTGCTTAGGGTAAGGACGGGGCCTGAATGCCCTGAGGGCAATCAGAGGGAGCTAACGTGAGATAGCAACTTAAACTGTAGGACAGCGAGAGAGAGAGAGAGAGAGAGAGAGAGAGAGAGAATTAACCGGCCCAAACACACTGCCGGCCGTTCGCAAAACAAAGGGGGATTGAGCAATTCCAGAGAAGAGCTAGCCAGCAGTGGACCGGAGGCAGGAGGCAGAGGGGAGGGGAAAGGGGCAAACTCGTCCCCAGAGATGGCACCCCTACCAAACTGCAAACAGGCTCCCAGTTTCTAACCAAAGACTTCCTGAGAGTCTGGATGGTCGACATCCGCTGGGAGAGTCGCGGCTAGAGGCCAGCTCCCGAGCACAGACACAAGGCGCATGCACCTGCCTGGCGCGTGGAAACTGAGGCTGGGCCCGTGGAGGGGATAAGGTGCACTGCACCTGGGGAGAGTGCGCCCATAGAGCTCCTGGCTGCCTGAGCTGCTCGGGCCGGGGAAGGCACAAAACTCAGGCCCAACCGAGTCCACGCTTTTGTGGAGGACCCGAAAACTGGAACTGCACACCACGCAGGGCCCGCTCCCTATAGAGCACCCTGGAGCCTGAGCAGTGTAGACAGTGAAAGCACACACCCGTGAGCGGGGCAAACCCAGTGTGGCCGGAACACTGAGAGTGCTCCCCACACAGGCCAGTGACATTTGTCTGCAGCGCCCCTCCCTCCCCGCAGCAAGACTGAACCAGCGAACCTAAACAAGAGACCACCTCCGCCCGCTCGTGTCAGGGCAGGAATTAGACACTGAAGAGACCATCAAACAGAAACCAAATAAACAAAGGGAACCGCTTCAAAAGTGACCGGTGCAACAGATTAAAATCCCTGTAGGTAACACCGACTACACCGGAAGAGGCCTATAGATATCAAGAAGTGTAAGCTGGAACAAGGAGTTATCTGAAACAGAACCAAACACACTGACCGCAACAGCTCCAGAGAAATTCCTAGATATATTTTTACTTTTTTGTTGTTGTTGTTGTTTTGTTTTTTAATTAAAAAAATTTTTTTTCTTTTCTTTTTTTAAATTTTTTTCTCTTTTATTTTCTTTTAAAATTCCCTATTACTCCTCTATTACTCCTTAACTTTCATTTTCATTTTCATATATTTTTACTATTTTTTAATTAATTTTTTTTCTTTTTTTATTTTTTTCTCCTATTTTCTTTTAAAGTCCTCTATTACTCTTCTATTTCTCCTTAATTTTCATTTTCATTTCACTATAACCTTGCAAAAACAACAAAAAAAGAGGCCCTATTTTTAAACTGAACTTCATATATATTTCTTAAAAGTTTTTGTGTTTTTGGTTTTGTTTTTAATATTGTATTTTTAAGAGTCTAACCTCTACTCTAGATTTTTAATCTTTGTTTTTCAGTATTTGATATCAATTTTGGACACTTAACAATCCAATATTCAGTTCCCAGTTTTACTCAGGAGTGTGTTGATTACTCTCTCCCACTTTTGACTCTCCATTTTCTCCCTCAGATCACCTCTATTTCCTCCCTCCCCCTTCTCTTCCCAATCCAGTTCTGTGATTCTTTGTGGGTATCTGGGCTATGGAGAACACTTAGCGAACAGAGTGCTGCGTAGCTCTGTATCTCTCCTCTGAGTCCCCCCTTTTCTCCTCCTGCTCATCTCCATCTCCCTCCTCCCTCTCCTCTTCTTCATGTAACTCTGTGAACCTCTCTGGGGGTCCCTCACTGTGGAGAATCTTTTCACCATTAACTTAGAAGTTTTATTATCAGTGCTGTATAGTTGGAGAAGTCTTGAGGCTACTGGAAGAATAAAACTGAAATCCAGAGGCAGGAGACTTAAGCCCAAAACCTGAGAACACCAGAAAACTCCTGACTACATGGAACTTTAAGTAATAAGAGATCATCCAAAAGCCTCCATACCTACACTGAAACCAACCACCACCCAAGAGCCAGTAAGTTTCAGAGCAAGACATACCACGCAAATTCTCCAGCAATGCAGGAACATAGCCCTGAGCATCAACATACAGTCTGCCCAAAGTCACACCAAACACATAGACCCATCTCAAAACTCATTACTGGACACTCCATTGCACTCCACAGAGAAGAAATCCAGATCCATGCACCAGAACACCGACGCAAGCTTCCCTAACCAGGAAACCTTGACAAGCCAATCGTCCAAACCCACCCACTGGGAGAAACCTCGACAATAAAAAGGAACCACAGACCACCAGAATACAGAAAGGCCACTCCAGACACAGCAATCTAAACAAGATGAAAAGGCAGAGAAATACCCAGCAGGTAAAGGAACATGAAAAATGCCCACCAAGTGAATAAAAAAGGAGGAGATAGGAAATCTACCTGAAAAAGAATTTAGAATAATGATAATAAAAATGATCCAAAATCTTGAAAACAAAATGGAGGTACAGATAAATAGCCTGGAGACAAAGATTGAGAAGATGCAAGAAATCTTTAATAAGGACCTAGAAGAAATAAAAAAGAATCAATTAAAAATGAATAATACAATAAATG